TATTGTACAAAGTACTAAAAAATTTGGATTTTTCCTATAACATAAGGGATAGAAACAGTATTGTAGGAAACTACTATATATTATTAAGATGAGACGTGGGTAAATTCTGGTCATACAAAATCAAAAGTCTGGGTTGACAATACAGTGGCTACATCGAGATCTGCATTCTTGGATGGGCAATCAAGAGGATTGAAAAATTCGTCAAGCAATATATTGTGTTTAATTTTGTATTCTCGTTTTTCATATTTATTTTTATAAATAAATCTGCACATATCCTATAAAAAATACACGTTATTTCACTGACAAATGCTTTATTATTATTATTATTGTAGGAAAAGGCAAGCGGCTTATAATTGTACATATCGGCAGTCATAATGGATTTGTAGAAGGATGATATAAATATTAAATCAATAAAACTGGTGACTACCACCAATATATGGATGCCAAAGTGTTTAAATATTGGTTCCAAGACATTGTACCTAAATTGAATGAGAATGCAATTATAGTTTTAGATAATACATCGAATCATTGTCGAAAACTTGACAAAGCACCTACAACTTCATCTCGCAAACAAGACATTATTTAATGGGTACGGCCGAAAAGTATTGCTTGTTACGAATCAATGATAAATTTGCAACATTTGGATTTAGTGCAAAACAAAGATCGCTTTGAAAAATTTGTCTAAGACAAGATGACTAAGTCCATAAATCGTCGCGTCATACTTTGCACTGTGAGCTCAAACCAATTGAGCCTGTATGGACTCAAGTGAAGGACTACGTGGCAGCAAATAACACACATTTTAAAATTGATGAAGTTCGAATTCTTTTGTCATAAGGAGTAGCTAAAGTGGATAGCCAAAAATGGTCGTCATGTATCAATCATGTGATACTACTAAAAATATTTAAACATCCACTATAAATTTCAAAGATTATTAACCACTTACCATCATGACTTGTCTTTTGTCACCCTATCCTATAAAAAAAAAACCAAGATTGAAACAAAAATGTACGAAGTCGACAATAATGTACAAAATATGTTAGAGCAGTTTATTATTCACGTGTTTGCAGAAAGTCCATCAAAAGGAAGCGATGACGATAGTTTTTAAGATTACAAATATTATATAATAATTATTTTATTTATAAGTTCTCGTGCATAGTATATCCAATATTGTTTTATTGTTATTTATTTAAGAAATTATTTATATATAAAAAATATCTACAGTAAATATTAGAAGTACTCAATATGAACGAGCTTTTACAGTTTCAAGAACAAAGGCGTTGGCTTACCTTACCCATCTCACTCTGTCAATATCAGTAATGTGCGAGAGATATACTCAGTATTCGTTTGTTACAAAAAAAAACAGACTATAGCGAAGTTAATTAATCAAGAAAGTGTGGAGAAAACATTTTGTTGCCGTAATAAGACTTGTGTTTTATATTAATTATATTAGTAATGCATAAACTAAATTACGGATATTCCTAAAAGTAGAAAATTAAAAAATAGTTAAGAATGTGTAAAATAATTGAAGAATACATCATTACTGTGTTTTGTGTATATATATATACATGCACGATAAACCGTAAAAAGTAAATTCAAATCGCAACTTTTCAATGGTGACACTATGTGACAATCTGCGTAACAAATAAGTTCAGCTTAGTTGCAACTGGTCAAATCTGGTGATACATATTACCCTCTAAAATAGGGGGTATTCTGTGTCTGGTGACCGCAAGATAATTAGGCCTGATTTCCAGGAAAGTACACGGTGCATTAGTTGATACAAAAGTCAATAATTATTATTCTTTATTTGCCTGTTAGTCTATTGCTAAATATGAGCCTCTCCCGTTACAAGAAGGATTTGCCAAAATCGCCACGCTTGATAGGCGGATTAACAATCGCAGTATCAGACAGCTTCGCACCTTAGACGCTACTTCCCGTTGACGGTATGGGTATTCCATGTCTGCTACAAACAAAATGTTATAGTGCCATCTATCGAAAACCATGAGATCTTTCTGGTGTCACATTATGCCGCCACTACACGGTCATTTTATTAGTGGACACCCTCATTACACTACTAAGAGAAGGCTCATCATAAACATAAAAACACTCATGCCTGTCACCCAGAGGGGTAGGCAGAGACTACAGACTTCCATTTGGTACGATCCTGACACACCTCTCTCGCCTCCTTCACATTCATATACCTACGCGTACATGCTCGTCGGTTAAGGATACTCCTTAAATAACTCCTTAAATAAATTAGGCCCGTTTTCAATAAATCCCCAATCACACAATTTCTCACCCTGTCATTGAGATTCAGCCCTAACGTAGTCCTTAACGACCGCATTTCTACTGCGTTCATTCTACTCTCGTGCTTCTTCTGCCACACCCAACTTTCACTACCATACGTTAAAGTAGGGACCAACACAGCATTGTGAATTGCCATACGTGCCTATCCACTCTGTCATAGGCCTTTTCCGAGTCCATGAACGCACAAAAAACCTTTCGGTTTTTGCCAAAAACTTTTTCGCGATCATGCGCATGGAAAAGACTTGATCTGTACATCCCATTCCCTTTCTAAATCTCACTTGCACATCCCAAATTTTTCCATCAGTTTCTTTCATGACCATTCGAAGGCTGATACCACGGTAGCTTTTACAGTCCTGCTGCGACCCTTTTCCTTTATATACTGGGACTATCACGACTTTGCACCAGTCTACCCGTACATAAGCTTCAGTTCCCAGCATAAATTGAACAAGGTGTGCAGCAGGCCTGCCACTACTTCCTCTCCAGCCCTTAGCATTTCGAATGAAACTCTATCATATCCTGCAGCCTTACCTGCTTTCATGCTTTTCATTTCTTTCATTATTTCATCCATACTTATCTCGCTACCTCTTTCCTCTTCTTTCGGAGTTTCTACTTCATTAAGTTCGTACGTTGTCTCCTCACTCATAAACATGCTTTCAAAATATTCCTTCCATTTCTTTAAACTCAAAACTTCATCATTCAGAATATAGTTAACTTATCTCTTATAGCATTCATTATAGGCTGTTTTGAATGCCCCCTGGCAGTTCTTACGAGTTTCTACATTTTAATATTTGCCTGGAAGTTATCCGAAATTCTTCTATCATTCTTATCCGTTCTGTTTTGTTTTTTCCTTTCAACTACTTCTTTTACTCTCTTATTTAGATGTCTAAAGACTGCCTTTTTTCTTTCAATATCATCATTCGTACCTCCAGAATTACCAGCTTTTGTTGCTAGTAAATTTAGCCATGCTCTCTTTTTGCTTCAACTTCCATACGTATCTCATCATCCCACCATTATGTATTATTTTTCGTTTCATTCTTTCTCTTACTAACACCACATACTTCGGTAGCTGCATCCAGTAAACATTTCTTAACATTTTGACATACAGTCTCTAAGTCTAAGTCTAACTCATTCATACATAATTCATCCAAACCACTTATATTTTCTTTCAGTCTTCATTTGAACTTGTTTTTCTCACCTTCTTCTTGTAACCTTACTGTTCTAATACGCTGTAACGCAATGGTAGACACAGATGACCGATGGCGCCAACGCCTGAATAGACCATTAATTCGGCATAAAACCAAATAATGATCCGTTCCTACGTTAGACCCCCGGTAAACCATTGTATCTACCACTGCGCCCCTCATTCTTTCATTCACAATTATGAAATCTATCATGCTTCTATCCTCACCTACCTTTCCTAAGTATACATCTGAATCCTCTAGTGGCGAAAGCAAGTATTCGTCACAAAAAGATTGTTTTCCATACATACGGTGAGGAGGCTTTCACCATTCTCATTTATACTTTCATCACCAAACGTTCCCAATATCCTTTCATAACCAAGCCTCCTCACCCGAATCCTTCCGAAATAAAATCTCCTAGCATAATAATATTTTCATTTCCTTTACATTTAATTAACACCATCCTTAACATTTCCCAAAACTGCTCTCGGATATAAGTGGGCTTAGACATGTCTGGCGCGTAGAGCCCTAGCACAAACAACTTCTTTAAGCCCACTTTCATTCGTATCCATAGCAGTCTTGGGCTTACACATTCATACTCTCACACATTGGCCCATTCTTTCTGAAAGGATGATACCTACTCCCTGGCATGCCCGCTCGATCTCGTCTACACCAGACCAGTATGCGGTATACATGCCATGTGTAGTGACATCCTCACCCTTCCGTTTCGTCTCATTTACACATAACACATCTATTCCTCTATCATACATCATATCGCATACTTTATCCATTTTATCATTCATTGCTCCACATACAATCAACGTAGCCAGACAGGCCCCTGCAATCCACTTTTGAGACAGAACGTGACGGGTGGCATCATCACTTAACTTTAAACTAGGGCTCATGCAGATGCAAAGTTAAAACCTTTTTCTAGCATCATAAACGAGGCGGAGTAAAAGTCTCAAGTCATAACTATCTTTATTCCAATAAAAGATTCAATCAAATGGTGTGACATTGCGCAGATGTAAATTAGCGAATTGATTAGACAGTAAAAGCAAAAAATTCAAATTCAGATTTTTATTGTTTAATTGGCCTACGGGTTATGGAGGAGACAGATTTCAAAGAATCGTTTTCTTGCGCCATGGGAGCTCCGCTCCATTAATCTTCAAGTTACGTTGTTGATATTTTTATATAATTCACACACACATAACAAAGTTTACATTGCCTAGAAATACTTATAATCGGCTATGATTATGGTGTTAACTTCGACGACGGTGAAAACTTCGGAATATATTATCGGAAATAATTAACATACATACATAAACACTCACGACGTCAGCTGGATTGGTAAGCAGAGAGTACGAACTTTCATTTAGGCCAAATAAGAGTACCTTTAACCGTAGTGTGCGTATATAGATATAAAGGAGACGAGAGAGGTGTGTCAGAACTGTGCCAAATGGAAGTAATTAATTGATCATAATGTAGCCGTGTGCTGGCGACGTTAGAGTATTCATGAACTTAGTGTGAATTACCAGGTGGATTGCAAAGGCGTTTCTGCTTTTTTTTGGAACGCCTTTTCTTTTGTTTTGATTTATCACCTATAATGGATTGAGCAGGTTCTTGAATTTGACGTTCAATGTTAATAAAATCATCTGTTACTTGAGGGATAGAAATTTGGGCTCTAAGGTGAATTTCATATGGATCATCTGTAGAAATTGATATTGAATCATCAGAATATGTAAGTGGAGATGTATAAAGCATACTGTCTACAGTTTTTAATTCTCGCTTTATATCTAAATTCATAAATACTCTTACATCCTATGGGTGTCGTAAGCGATAAGCCTTCTTACGAGTTAGTGTCATGCTGCAGGTATATTATGGTTGTAGCACTAATGCGTCGACTCGACCGGGAAAAGACCACGCCCTCACAAAAATACCAGCATAAAATAGAAGCTCAATGCTACTGTGTTTCGTATGATGGGTGTAAAGAACCGGAGACCCTTTTTTACTGAAAACGAGGCATTCCATCTTAGTCCTCGGAGGTGACAACGCATCTACGTTTTGATTCGTAATCGAGTATAGATGTTGATGTCTATAGGCCACAGCATCTACTTACCATCAGGTGGACTGTGGTAAAAAGGCAACTATGAAAGATCTCATGGCTTCCATCTGGTTAAGACCAGGCTTAAAATGCAGTGACGGGCAGCAGCTTCGAAGGTGCGAGACGTCTGGCACTGCTATGGACAATCCGCTTAGCAATCGGTGACGGTGGCAAATACTTTCTACAACGCGTGATACTTATGTCCAGCTGTGGACTTCTAGAGACTTGAACATGACGAATATAGTACTTACTTTAGAGACTACTTTACAAAGGCTTACTACTTCTGATTTTGTACATACTATACCAAAAGTATGAGGACGTTCAAATTTGCTTGGCGAGCTACGGAGAGGGCTATGCTCAGAGTTTCACTGCGGGATAAACTAAGAAATGAGGATATCCGCAGTAGAACCAGAGTGACCGACATAGCCCAACGGATTTGTAAGCTGAAGTGGCAATGGGCCGGCCATATAGCTCGAAGAACCGACAACCGTTGGGGAAAAAAGGTTCTCGAGTGGAAGCCTTGTACTGCTAGGCGAAGTGTAGGGCGCCCCCCCCCCCTAGATGGAGTGACGACTTGGTAAGAAATGGAAGTCTATGGATGCAGGTGGCTCAGAACCGTGCTTTGTGGCATACCTTGGGGGATGCCTATGTTCAGCAGTGGACTTGTGAAGGGCTGTAATGGTGATGATGATGATGATGATACCAACGGCATAACCATTTACCAAGTGCTCGGCGGTAAAGGAAAACATCATGAGGAAACTTTTATATCTGAGAAATAAGAAAAAAATATATATTTCGAAGTCATATGTAGTTCATCTACTCGCATTGGCGCAGTGTGGCGGACACTTCCTTGCCTTAAAACCCTCTCAGAAATGAGAGGAGGTCTGTGCCTAGCTGGGGGACGTATGTAGACTGTAATTAACTTTATACCAACATTCTTACCACTCTAACTTATAGGTGAGATTCTACCAATATAATTACGTTAAGCCTACGTGTAAAAGTAAATAAGTATAAATAAATAAGATAATCGTAGTGTATGCGGGATGTTAAATTTGTTGAGTTAAAAATATTTAAAAAGAAGTTAAATACCAACATCGCATCTATGGACTTAGTCTTAATAAAAATATTATTATTAAATGTTTTAAAGTTTTTGCTAAATTGGTAAAGGTTAAACATGGAACTGCAGTCAATGACTATCGATTTTCAAGGAATTACGGACTTAATTATTATTTGATTATTTTATAGAAGTAAAGATGACAAATTGGTAGGTATACAGTTCACTATATCGACGACGAAGTAGCAATTACTCCTAACTCAAAAACCACTACTTTACAGGAGACGAAAAAAACGTTTCACTTAATTTTACGTATACTTTTGGAATATTGTAAAGTTTTAATTTTGTTACAGGAAGATAAGAAATAAGACTGTATTGTTAAATATAGTGAAATATTACAGGTTTCTGAAATATTACTACATAGGAGGAATTGTTACAACTTTTTTTTTAATTTTTTTTCTTTTCTTGAGATAGCAGGTATTGCAACGGAAAAAAAACTGTATTTTGATTGAATAAACACTATTCATTAATCACTTTTACTGAAACTGGCGGAATAAGCTTAGTATTTTAATTACTGGACGATATCACAAATATTGTATGTTCAAAAATCTACAGTGTTGTTACAATAATCTAAAATACAAGAAAAAAAGATAACTTGAAATCTGAGAACTACAAATAATAAATCAACGATTAACTGGACCTTATCATGATAAAAAATCAACTCAATTTGCAAGAAATATATTCGAGTCAGTAGATATGACTTGCTGTTGAATATACTCACAATCTTCTGATTACCTACATAACTAAAACACAAGTAGAAGTATTCGTTTATAGAACTAATACCCAAATGTCTACAAAATTAGTAAAATATGACAAATATCTAAGAACTTAACTAGGTACCTACTAAAATACAAATTAACATTAGTTATACCTCGTAACATTTGTAAACAAAAAAATTTAGCATTAATAACAATCATAAACCTTTTAAAAAGATAAAATGTAATTAAAGAAACAAAACACAAGGAACATAATTGTTACATCCACCTACTACATCATGGCATAAAAAAGTGCAATTATAATAAAACCCTGCATATTCGAAAGGCAAAGAGTTGTAAAAGCTATGACAATCGTTAGGAAGTACTGCCTTTAATTGCTGAAGATGATTGAATTTTGTAGCTTTTATTGGAATTCTATTCGAATAAATTTGACGATGAATACATTTCGGAACTTATAATCTTGGGTCTCTGTGGAAAAGAAGTCCAATCTTCATCAAAGTTGAGCTTTACTTCATCTGTCATTGTGTTGTATTTTATGGCTCTTATGTTTACTACTTATGGATCGCTAGCCCTACGCCCAGGTCTTATACTTTTGTAATACCAATTTTCAGTATGTGCGTAGTTTTTTACAAACTTGTAGTCAACTTGAATAAATTCATAAGGATTTATCCTGCGTGCTTCCTTTGTAATTTTACTGTAATCGCTTGGTAAGTGAATTTTCTCGATTTTTGAGTTTTCGTTCGATTGCCGCATGGACAGAGTCGCACTCCATTTGCGTATGTCCTGGTTCTAGAAACTTTTGAGTTATAGTGATATTATTGTACTTTTTACTTAGAAACAGCAGGGCATTTGACATAATAGTATTACGATTTTGATACGTACACCCATCTGAATAAATTACGATCGGTAGGAGTTGGTGAACGCAATGTCTTTCGATGTAACCAACTAAAAATGACACAAATGTACTTGCAGTTAAGTTAGCCGATGTTTCATCAAACCAATAGCAAGTGCAATGTGTACTAATTAAATTGAACACTGTGAAGTTATGGACTGTTAATTTGGTTTTAAAGTATAACGCATTAGCGGTTAAAAAGGGACTACATAACCTTTACAGATTCCAAATCCATGCTCAGTAAAATAAATTCCCCGTCAGCAGCTTTCTTTTTATCAATTTCCTTTTATTTTTTTTTATTATCTAGAAAGTTGTTTAACGTCAATAACTTTTGCGTATTATCGGATCTTGATGTAGGATTGTGGACTAAGTTTCTTAATTCTTGATGTGGTATCATACCAAACTCATTATTTTTGTCCAAGAACGTACAGTAAAAGTTCCCAGCGAAAGCGTGTTAAGGAACATAGTTCTACACACTTGTACTTTATCTGATCCATCACTACTGATAGGCAAAAAATATAATGCAGTTTCTGTACGCCTGGAATGAACATTGTTTGTTGTTTTTTGAGCAGTTTTTGAGCGTTTCACTAGAGACTAGATTTTGCGTTCCCAATCCATTTGCTTCCAAAAGAATCTGTGTATATGTTTTCTACAGTTTTCACTTATTTGAGAACACTCTCTTAACTTACTTTTAACACAATAATCAGACTTGCATCGTTCTCCCATTATTCGAGCAGATCTTAAAGTATTCTGTAAAAATTTTCTATTTGCCGGTTTTGAATATCCTAAGTACTGCTCTCCTTGCATCCTACGTAATTTGGCTTTGTTTCTCTTCCACGTATTTGGCAAGGCCTTGTGGCGACGCTTCCTACCCTCGTTGATATCCTCAATATCTGTATCTGTATCAATGTCGGTTTCTATGTCAGAATCATTACCACTAAGATTTGTTAAGTTATTATGAAAGGTTATCCATAGTGAAGTGTTATCAAGATGAGAATAAACAGCTTCACAATTCTGATTCAGCAGAGGAAATGACACCTTTTTTTAAGCTGCTGAAGGGGTTCACGGTATCAAATTAGAAAGCGACCAAGATTTGGTTAAACGGTTGCTGCAATGCCAGTTGTGTAATAGTTATTTTTGTATATTGTTATTGTATCATCATCAGCTAAATAGGAACTCCGAACAGTTAGTGATTGTGGATGAAGGCAAGCATTAGTTAGTTCAACATAGTGATTTATTTGCGAGAAACGACCTAAATCATTATACATATTCAAGAACACTGAGTGAGTTAGACTTAAGATAAGGTTCAATATCAACCCCTATTAAATCTAATTGATTCTAGATTCTAGATAGATTTTCATCCCATGCACAACTAACTTCAACCTGCTCGATGAGTCGCGCGAAAATTAACCGTTATTCAGTCGGCTACTAGATCACCATGAAACGGACGTGCCACAGCTTAGATAGGATAAATTGCCAGCAATTTTTTTTAGAATAACTAAGAAGGTATTGCCACACCTCAATATCTTGCTCAATTTTGAGTCCTAAAGGCCTGGTGTCTTCATGAGGACCTGAATTAGGTAATTTTAAGTATAACTATGGAATAAAAAAAATTCGCAAAAACTGAGATAGGAGTAATTGCCACTTCGTCGTCGATATGGTAAGTTAATACTGATCATAGACATTAGTCACTCTCATGCTATTCTCGATTAGGAACAAAAATACAGAAGCGTAGTCACCGCTGAGTACTTACATGGAACGCCTCGTTGTCAGTAAAAGGAGTCATGATTTCACCTCGACTTTGCAGTATATGCAGTCTAGGTTTTTATTTTACAAGCATACATTTATTTATTAATTAGAAGTTAACTCAGGGTCTAAGCGCTCACTGTAAGTCTCACAGGACGTAAGCAACCCGAGTTCGATCCGCCGACAACGATG